TACAGATACAACTGAGAAAATCCATCATCTTCTTTCCCTTCACTTTCTGTTTCACCATCGCTACATTTTTGCATATGCACGTGCCCATCGGGTATTATTTGGAAACTTTCCATCACTAGAACACAGGCTGAGAGGGGAAAAATGTTTAGGCAATAAGCAACTCATACCTGAAGAAATGTTTAGAAATACCAGCAGAAGGTAAACTCCTGTGAGATAAGCAGGCATCTCTAAGAGCAGCTGGAAACGGTGTTAATCCAGTGAGAATGCGTTTTCTTGTCTATTTCATCTAATTTAGGAAGTTCTACAGCAGAGCCGAAGACAGAGGGGGGATCGGGGTGGAGGGAGAGTTCCTGAGCTCCGCGGTAATACAGACAGTAATGTTCACAACTGCTCCTCGGACACTGAGTTTGTGTTTGAATCAAAGTTCGAATCAGTCGGAGACATCCTTACGGGTTATCCGACAAGTAGCCCTAATCCACTCAACACCACTTGGATTTTCTCCACTCCCACTACCCAGCTCCTCACTTCCAAATGCCGCTAACTTCACGGAATTCATCTGGGATCAGATTTGTCCGACTTCGAAAGAAGATTTCCGCAGCTGAATGAAGAGAAAGGATCGAGAAGAAGAAGAAGAAGAAAGATCCGAAACGTCCACTTGCAGTCACTTTAATGGTTTAAAAATGTGTAGTGTTAGCCCGATTTAGTGGGACTGACGCTGGTTGGATGAGGCGCCGTGCGTCTCTGCGCTCAGAGCTGGTCTGGCTTGCCTACCCAGTCACAGGCTTTTCTGTTGTGCAGAGGAGATTCCTGCGAATCAGGCACCATTTAACCGCATACGGATACACTGACAGCAAAAAGGCTCCAGTTGGCTTTGCATCGTGCTCAACTTTTTTAAAGATGAGGCTGAAGAAGTCTAATATATGTCATAAAACCATCGGAACACGGTATATCCAGTTTAAGAAATTAAATAGCAAAGTGTCACAAGATCATGTAACACATCAGGCAACTCCAGCAACATCAGTCCTGTTTAATGAACGGCGGCAGCCTGCAGAGGACTATAGTAAACTCCAACTAAACCCTTTGTCAGGTGCCCATCATTACCCAATATTTTAAGAAGTGCTTTTAGTCACGTGCAGATTTCCCCCATCTAAACTACACTCGATATTTTAAAGTGTGACTACTGCTGAAGTGAACAAATGACCTTGATGAATGATTTATACTATTTTTATCCCACCATCAAGGAGAGAGACGTGCACTGTGTTCTTATTATATCCAAAAGGGACAGGCTCGGGCAACACACAAAGAAGTGCTACAATCTTAATGAGCTGGTAAAGTGTGCCTTCATCTGTGAGGCTGAAGCGTCACTGTGCTTTTCAGGGAAATTGAAAAAATCGATCCAGCTCGCACCCTGTGACCCCCACTCATACTCCTGTGAAATTAGATGATATTTTAAAGTGCGTTAGAAATGTAATATCTCGTGGATTGTGTCCTAATGTCACGTTGAAGTAATAACTGGACATCCTCAGTTATAATCCGATTAAATAAATACTTTCTATCGATAAAGAAAACTATAAACTTGGCAGTTGGTCTAATTCTCTAACCTAGTGAACCAAAGAAATGTATTTGTTGTCTGAGCAGGTCCGGGCTCCCTCTGCTGGCTGCAAGAGCGCAGCACAGTCCATGGGAAGGATCGCTCCTGAGAAATTTCGCTTCTCCTTTAGAAATTTAGAAGTACAGAAGTAGTGATATTAAATGTTAACGTTGAATTCTGACTCTGTCACCCCGGATCATTACTAATGCAACAGGATTAATACTTTGTTTTTGTCTTCTAAGTTCAGTATGTTAAATGTGTGTGTGTGTGTGTGTGTGTGTGTGTGTGTGTGTGTGTGTGTGTGTGTGTGTGTGTGTGTGTGTGTGTGCACGTATGTGTGTATGAACCTTTCTGTGTTGACTGTCATATCTAATTTATTGATAGCCAAAGTCATTTAGAGACATGCGCCTTTATAATTCAGCTCACAAATAAAGAACAATTTCAAAAATATAAAAACTTGAATGGTGTGTTTTGCTGTACTAAGTCACTAGTCATTAAAATGTGTTCAGAATTTGCAAATTAATGATGAGACATCCCATTAATCTCTTTGCTCTCTCTCCTACATATGCTGCTTTTATAGATGGGTAAAAGTATTGGTATTGATAGTGGTAGTGGCAATATTAGCCCTGTAATTACTTGCATTGGATTGATACCAAAATTTGGAGTATGGCACAGCAATACCTTATATGTTTATTTTTCTGTATGCACACACGCTCCACCCACCCGCAGTTCAAATCTAAGAAAGATAGCTTAAAAGGAGCTAAAATAGTTTGTTTCAGACAGATTTTAAAAAATAAATAAGTATTATTTTGAACCGTGAATCATGCAAAGCCACTCTAGCAGAGTAGAAAAAAACTGAAATATAATAAATTTGGAAATGAGCACAATAGGTACCCCTCAATTTTTGCAATAAAAAAGCATGCATTTAAAAATTCCTCCACATATCTGACTGAAATTAGTAACAAAAAAGGAGTAAACAGTAATTATGCATTTAGGGCAAATGTGACCACCCTCTCATGCCACAGAAGTGGTAATCTTCAGTAGCTTCTGCTCTTTTAAGTCACATTTAGACTGAACAAAGTTTACTTACTCAGCCGTCCCTGCCCTCATGCCTCAAATCCTGTAATTGCCCATTGTGGACCTCTGATGGCTCTGTCGAATGCATTCAGCTTTCCATGCCAAGACATCACAGCTGGTAAACAACCAGTAAAATATGGGAAATTACAGTCTCACTATGAGTTCTCGTCTGGCTTCATAAAACACGCACTCAATGGCTTTCATTGTAAACACCTCTGATTCTCTGCCGCCTTTATGCATTTTCTACCTTTCTAAACCATTTATAGTGTTAAAAATAATTTTAACAACACAGTGATATTAAAAAAAATAATTGGACAGTGGTTTCCTCCATTATTCACTTTTAATTATTTACTGCACATATTGCATTTTCCTTCTTATTTTCCCAAAGGGGGTCTCTGTTTGCCTACATTTCTTTCATTACTTGCACGTAAATATCATCCCTGCAATATGACTCTCTGGCAGCCCAGTTGGCTGAGACTATAAGGAAGAGCAGGCCTGTGATTGTATTGCAAGACATATCGTTTGGTGATGTAATAACTTCATCATTAGTCTCAATTTACTGCATTAATATGAATATACTGGCTGGAATCACAGTAGAGCTAAAGAACAACAAAAAGAAGATAAACAGAGGTTCACCCATGCCTCTTTTGTTTTATGCATGCATGGCCTCTACATAATGCCAGGTGCAGTATGCGCCGCTAAATGCAGAGTTTGTGAATTCTGTTGTGTATTTCACAACCCAAAGCACCAATATTTCCAGGAACAGATGGTGTAAAATGAAAAAAAAAATGAACACAAAGACGTGCACGTCTTCACGACAACACAGCGCATTTAATGGCAAGGAATTCAAGGAGAGCGTGCCAAGTACTGAGACCTAATTTTATTTATTTATTTCACCCCAGAGTGGATATCCAGTTGGTTCTCATCCAAGGGAGAAAATATCTCCAGTAAGCACAAAGCCAAATCGCCCCTCTTCCCCCTCCCAAAAAAATATATTTACAAAAAAATAAATAATTTGGAATCTCAACAGAGCAATAAACTTGGCCTCGATCGTCTGTTAAGCACTATCAACTGTTTTTATCCACTAAAGATGCAGACAGGTTTTAAAAGCTGTTACACACACACAAAAAAGATCTTTCATGATATTTTTTTGCTCATACCAGTTGTGCATGTGACAAATCACTGCCATTAGCAGCTCCTTTTCACATATTTTACCCATTACTAGCTGTAATTTCCATGCTGATTCACCGCTCTTTGCTCCTCATCTGACAGTTCATTGGCTTTTTCATGTCTTGTTTGCATCATAGTTGTCAAATGCCTTTCACTACAGTTGCTCAGGGTCATGCAAAGTACTGAGGCAAAATGAGAAGCAGCCCTTGCCTTCACATTTAACAACACAGTCAGAAAAGCTGATGCAACAGCCATGCCTTCTGTTTTTCTCGGTCTTCCTCCAAACTGGCAGCTGCCCGGATGGTCTCATCATTCATTAAGACTTGGATATCTTTTCAACTTTGCGCCATCTCACAGTATTTTTTCTTTCCTTGCTGGTCTACTAAGATTTTAGATGTGAGAAAGGGATCAAGAATTCCACTTTCACCCATTAGTGCCACATAAACTAACAATGGAACTCCACTTTTGATTTCATAATAGAAAAAGAAAACATCTTCATGGTGCCCATTATGGATTAGAAAAACACACTCACATAATTATTGTGGCATGTCATTTTCTGTTTGTGTTTGACTTAACTTTGCTTCAGAGGCTAGGAAGAGTGCTCAGCATATAAATCAGTTTATTGAGGGCGATTTTTTCATCTTCAGAAACCACAGAGACAGAAGAACACTTAAATGTTTAGCTTTGTTCCACCACAATATACCCCCATGTCAAAGCCCTCACCATAAAATGTCAGAGCAAAGGGATAGAGGATTGAACTGTGTTGGCTTTGGACACAGGACTTGCGGTCGACAGCTGCTGAACTGGCATTAAATGGTATTAGAGTCTTTGTCAGCAAAAGGAAATGTGGTATTCTTCCTGGGAAATGGGATCAAAATTGTGTCTTTCAAAGGACAAATACAGAATCAGCACATCCTGGGGCAACACTTCACCGGCAGCTTTGTTGAAGCTTATTTCAGATGCTTCTTTGAAGCTATTTTGCAAGATAAAACCAAAGCAAAAGCAACAGGATTAGTTGAACAACTACTGGCAATAGAGAATGCAATGAAAAGTAAATGCAAACTAGGAACATGCAAGCATAAAACCAAATTAATTCCAGCATTCTGCACATTGTAGTCACAACGACACGATGCTTTACAAAAGACTGATGAGTGGATCATACCTTTATACCCCTGGTTGTTGCCTTGTTCGACTTCCTGTTCAGATGCGGGCGACTGGGTGATGACCTCATGGTTTCCTCTGTGTTTGTCTATATTTGTTTGCATGGAAAAACAACAGCAAGTGTAAAAAAAATACAGTATTTTTTGACCTACATAATATATGTAATCTATATCTTCATGGCCTAAATGTATCCACAAACAGTAAACTACACTGAAAATTGTTGCAGAATGATTGTGAACACCGTAAGATAGGTTTTTTTTTAAAAAATGAACAAATAAATGTAAATCATCTCTCAGTACCCAAAAGAAAGAAGCATTTTTAACAAAGAAGTTTTATGAACTTCAGTTGACATTTTAGAAAAGGACTTGAAACGATGACTGGGCTGGTTGAAGTGAATAAATAGATGAAGTTAAAAAGATGTTTCCCAGTAGATAAATACATTTTGCTTTGGAAGCACATTTTTATAAATGCCAACCCTGTGAAGTGTATTCAAATTTAATCCTGCAGTAGCAGAAAGGAGTGTACAAGTTTTCCTAATGACTTAGTCACAAGAGGAATGTGATCTTTTATGTGTAAGCCGAAACTAAATCTAATGCAACATCAATTATGATATAAAAAATTTAGCTTGGTATGCAGTAAAACTTTTGTATAGCTTACTGACATTCATATATATGTATTATGACCTTAAACTGAGAATGAAACATTTCTCAAAATGTTTTAGGTACATTTCTGTGTGTTTGCAATACTGTGAGCAGTCATTCTATTCATATGCATATGCTCACATAGATCAACCTCAAGGTTTTCATTAATTTCCCCCAAGATCGTCCCAATCTTGGGGGAAATTAATGGTGAGTGGTATGGGTGTGATATGCTGTATAGCTTCAGATATTTTCTAAAACTCTACCACTAGAGGGCGCCACTGCCTAATCAATACAGCAGAGCTGGGTGCAAGAAAATGGAACAGAGGTATAATGTTTGGGCTTTTATAGTTTCGGTCCTTAAGTATTTAAGTTTTTTAAATGATGCCCACAAACGCCAATATATAAGTAAAGCTAAAGGTTTACATATCTGATAAGGAGATTTAGTCATTTGAAACTGAAATAAAAGAACAGAACATCAAGCAAAATTACAAATTCCAATCTATTTTACATAATAACTGGTAGAAGATAATCTCACTCAAAGACAGCTCAAAGCGTATATAATTATAATCAGTGAGCTCGATTACAATGAAAGTTTGCATACACAGAGCAGCAATGCGTATTGTACAGTAAGGCAGGGTGTGCATTTCACTGAAAAAGACAAGAACAGATGCAAGTGATCTTTGTTTTCATGTTTTCATCCAGGACAACATAAATGCACCTACAGGAGAAGTTCAAGTTAGTAAATCACAATAGTGCGTCCTAATATATTACTCTTCATCGTTCTCACACCCACGTATGAGATTCTCACCTGATAAAAAGTCCATGCCACAGCCCTGCTGCAGGTTGTTCATACAAAGCAGGCCAATGAGAATGAATATTTGAATAACCAGCATAGTCCCAAAAGGCAAAGTGGGTCTTCGGGAAGACCTCGAAAAAGAAGCTTGGACAAAAAGATGGGGGAAAAGAGTGTTAGCACATTTCAAATTTGGAACATCCTTTAGAAATAAATGGCTCAATATACTGTACATGTAGTTCCTTGTGTGCTTTATTGCTATTTTAAACCATTTTAAACTCCCAAAAAATGTAGGAAATTGTTACCACAGATATTCTTATTACAGTTCCAAAGTGAAATCATTCCTTCTCCATCATCTATCCTGCTGGCTAGTTTGTGCAGGCGTGTCTCTGTGTAAAAGTTCTACAATAAAGAAAAAGAGGCAGACAGATGGACTTTGCTCTGAAATGCATCCAGAATACAGACAAATGTTGGGTCTGCCTGCTTCAGTCTAATCCAGTCCAACCTTAACAAGTGAATGCAGATTGCTGTGGTGTCTGTGCTGAATTTCCTTTCAAACCCCAACACACAAGCGAGCCTCTAAATCTTAAAGACGCTCTCTGTCTGTTTTGTGGAAAACTGAGTAGGAGTACGCTTTGTGCTGAAGTGCTCCATCAAAATTTCATGCGCTCATACATATTCCAAGTCAAACACCATTGAAATATGCTCACGTTTACCTGCTGCATAGCCCATCCTAATGCTGCAAATACACATTTTTCACACACAAAGTGAAATGAAACAAACCATTACTCTCAAGTGAGTGTGGTGATGAGACACAATGAATGCTCCAGGCAAGGAAAAAAAGAAAAGAAATCAGTTCTACTGATCAGCCATCTGTGGTACAAACAGCACTGCAACTCTTCCTAGCTGTCTGATGGACAGCCAGATTCCTGGGATGTCTTGGCACCCTGTGGCCATCAACTCCATGCACCACTTTAATTGTTCTGAGAATTACGCACCAACAGCCAGCACTGTGAATGTGCCAAAAACTTGAATGAAGCATGAATATTCTGTGCACATAGCAATGAAAAGATATGGGTTTTGGCGTGTAAAGGGGGATATTTACGGCACTGTACTAGCTTAAGGTTCCAGGTATTTTTGTGTCATTTGACAAAGTGTGAGTGTTTCATGAGATTCATGACTGCACTTTTAAAAATTTGATTTGTTTAATTTAGATATCTAAAATTGAACTCATTTTTTTAGAACCAAGAAAATCAAATCAAGCTGTACTATTTGAAGACTGTTAATAATTGCTTACTTAAATAATTGATTGTGCTTCTATACCAGTCAACTTGTAGATATGACAGTTGGAATGTATAAAGGTGTGTGAATTAATCACACCGGACTAAAATATCTCAATGACTGATTTTACAATTCTTCTGTTAGAAGGTTTGTAGAGATATAGAGCATGAATTCAGATTACTTTGTTTATAACTTTCTTTTCTTCTGATTCCACAATGAGGGTGACATTTTTTTAAGCTCAGAAAAAAGATCAGGTGGGCCGCCAGGTATCTTTTCTGCAGATGAACAGTGGCTTAGCTTAGCCGGCATTTCAGGTGCAGCCCGAGGAAAGAGGGAGGATGGATGGATGGATGGATGGATGGATGGATATTTAAACCGCAGCATCCTCAAGCAGCTGACATCTGTATTTTTTAAATATTTCAACAGCAGTTGGTGATACCTTAGAGCAGGGGTAGGCTAACCTTTCTGATGATGAGTGCCATCTAAAATTTCCTAAGAGGTCAGTGTGCCATATGACTGCATTAACAATAAATTTAATAACACTCTATATTAACAGTTACACACTATATAGAACAACTTTATAGAATTATATTTGTTCACAGATGTTGGCAGCTATCAGCAAATAGTTATCAGCTATTTTGAAATAAAAAAGACACTTTTTATCAATAACAAGAACTCCATAACAGCAAATGAACTATACAACAGAAAATGCAAATGCTATTTATGGTCTCCTCACAACAGTGATAAGAAAAATGAACTGAGCCAATATGGCATGTTTGTTAATACAGAGATACACATGTTACATGGTCTCTGAGTGTCCAGCATTCAGACGACTACCTGAGGACACTCTTCGTGTGAGAGAAAATCTGCTCACACAGATATGTAGAGTCAAATACTGTCAATAAGGCCTCTGCAATGTTCTGAAGACAGTTAAACTTGTCAGGTAGTGATGTCTAGCAGGTGAAAATACAAGCTCCACGAACACGCACAGCTAAGGATTCCAGCTGCGTTCGTAGTTCTGCAAACTTTGACCCCCACAGAGTCGAGGTTTTCATTTCAATCAGCTGCATTGCGATGTCGCATTAGCTGGTGTTAACTCAGCCAGTTAATGCGAGACAAATCCAGCTGCTCATTAAAGCTTTCTGGTTTGATCAGAAAAGAAAACATTGGTCCATACGCCTGAAAGTCCAGAAAAAGCATTGTGAATTCTGTCTTGAGCCTATGGATGTATCCGTGTATTTCCGCAGTGCTGATGCTGCGCTGAGCGGAGAGCTCCTGAAGCGTTTGAAATGTCGGAATGTAGAAATTTCAACATCGCTTGAAAAAACTGACAGCTAGCAACGTCCCTCTCACCGGTAGGCTAAGTGATTTTTAGCCAATTACAAGTTGAATCTGGTAGTTGGGGTTGTTAGCTAAGATGCCACCGTCATTGAGAAGTGGCACAACTAATGTGTCTATGCGAGCTAATTTCCAATGTGCACCGCTGGCCTGGCCATTTATTTTTTAATGCACCCTCTCAGATTAATTCACAAAAAATCGGCCTGGGCATTTTGACTAGAGACCGGCCCACCAGGTACTATAGGAAAAGCCATAAAGCCTTTGAATGAAAACAAACGCTGTGGTGATGACAGTGATGAACACTGTCTTGTTGGTATATGCATGATTTCTATACATTTTACATCTTGGTTGTAAGATTCAGATAACTATTTATTAAAGGCAAGAGATTTTAAATGAGAATAAGAAAGAAAAGTGTTTCTTTGTGCCCCCCTTTCCCTGTTAATGCCCTACCTGGCCCCCTGGCAAAACTTTGCTAGACCCGCCCCTGCACAGTTACCAGCTGTCAGCTACTTAGAAAAGGATCCTGGTGTTATTTGTCTCTCAGAAACAGTTCATAACTTCCCTTCAACTCATTCATGTCACCTAAAAGGTAAACCTGTTTCTCCATCACCTGTTCAGCTCTGATGATTCAGTAAGGACATCTCCTGGTTTCATCTTCATGTTTCCCTCTCACCAGATAACCACACCGATATCATGACCAGCAGCTTTATGGCTCCAGCAAACATCAGCTGGTACTAGAAATTAATATTAAATAAACTCTAACAACAGCTGATCAAGCTTAAACATGCTGCTGTTGTTTAGCGTGACATCCTCTGGTTTCCTCTTTCTGGCGCAAAGTGGGCGATAAACAAACAAGAGAGAAAAGCCGATCAGCTGATCATTGATCAGTTTCATGATTGAAGGAGCAACAGGAAACAGAGGGAGAGGGAATGAGAGAAGAAGAGGCAGCTGACAGAGTAAAGACAGAATAACTCCAGCTTTGTGTCTTTTTCCATTCTAGCTGAAGTCCGGGACAAACTGTGTTCCTTTTCAAATCAATATTAAACTCGTAATATTTTCTCTGAATAAGAGACGATTCGGTTTTTACGGGATGGTTAGCAACTCTACTAACTAACCTTATGAATAAAATAAAGTTTATTAGAGGTGGGAATCACCATACATCCCACGATATGATATTATCACAATACTTAACGCACGATACGATATTATTGCAATTTTTGAAAAATATTTTGCGATATTCAGATTCTGTACATAAAGGTAAACTTTATTAATATTCATTTTATCTAATAACAAAGTCTCACACTCAGTCTTTCTCTCATTTCAGTCAGTTTTATTGTTGACAAACTGAACGGCTTGTATTACAGTCTAGTCCAACTTACCATCTGGTACAATTATAGCTATTCTGAACTATGAAATTTGTGAAAACTATGCAGCCCCTTCAGCAACTGAAGAATTTGAAAGTAAATTAAAACAAAATATAATTTTACATTGAATAAAAAAGTTTTAAACTTAATTAAAATACAACATGTCTTAAATGAAAATAAGTAAACTGTCATGTTCATTGCTGCCATAAAAAAAGTTAAACACATTTGGACAGTGAAGGAATGTCAGGATTCTTGCTCAGAAAAAGGAGCTGATCAACATGCTCTGAAGTCAGAGCATGTTCCAGTCCACAAAAACTTTTTTTGTAACAAAATATCGATTTCTGCTGTCCCAGTATCGATACATTATTAGCAAACAAAATATCACGATACTACACAGTATCGATTTTTTTCCCCACCCCTAAAGTTTATTATCAGTAACATCATAGCACCCACCCAGCTGTACAGAAACTCCATCATGCTAGCTAGTATGCAGTACGAGTTATTGTAACTGACTGTAAAAAGTCAGCACAACGAAAATAAACTACACCTAAAGTTGGTTTATATCTGACCCAGATAGACTGCAGGTCATAACTTCTTACCTGAAGTTCAGTTCACCTGACACTCCTCCTCCAGCCTCCCCTTTCCCTCATCCACCCGCTGGCCTCTGTGGAAGCTCCGCCATAGCCACCACCAAGCAACTGAGTGATGCCAGTATCTGGCAAATCCACCACCTTTCATTGTTTATACCGTTACAAGAAGAAAAAAAAAATCGGCCCATAAAAATGTAAAATCCCCATCGAGCCACGGGGCAAATGCCTGGTATGCCTGATGGCCAGTCCAGCTATGGTCATGCCATCAGTTAACCCTACGCGTGCAACACAATGGAGTAAAAATTAGCTTAACACACCGATTTATTTATTAACCAACAGCTTGTAAATGTGATGCGTCTAAGGCTCAACTCTAAATTATTGATACTAATTTGCAATGGTTCTACCAACTTAACTTGAATTGTTAAACGTGCAACCAAAAACGATCTATCTTAAAACATCTCTGTTCCAATGAACTGTTTTACAAACTGTTAGTTTTATATATTTGTTTTTTTCTTTTATCCAGTTAATAGTTATTCACAGAGTCTTGCAAAACACTGTGTTCTAGACATATTTGTAGGTACTTCAAAACTATCCTGCTGTGATGGGCTCAGTATTCTGCAAATCTAGTAAAGATGCTGATGTCTCAAAAAGCGTGAGCCAGAAACAATAATATTTCATAGGAATAAAATATGAAATATGAATAACATTCATATTGAAATCTACTGCTAACATAATGAGCGAGGGAGATTTTTGCAGTATGCTGAATATTAAATGTGGGTGGTAATAATAACATTGCACTGTTTAGCTTTATCCAACATCTGTTGGAGAATACTGAGGGGAATGGTAGAAAGTGGATGTATAAATCAAAATGTAATTTTAAAATATGCCAGCGGAAGAAAAATATGAATCAACCAGAAAAGGCATATAGGGTTATGCATACTATGCTGAAAACTCCATAGGAGAGAAAATTACACCAACAAATCTACAGTAAAAGCAAAGAGGGAGAGAGAGAGAGTTGCATTATGTAAAGATTAAAAGTATCTGTAATCATCATAATAGTACAATTCTACTGTATGTGAGAAGCATTTCAATAGCTTACATTCTACTTTGTGTGACACTTTGATGCTGTGGATACAGGTCCACTTACAGCCAACACTTACAGAGCTGCCTTTGCTGAAAGACAGTATCTACTAGGCTCATCTGCACAGGCTTTGAGCTAATGGGAAGAGAGTGCAGTCCACAGGAGATGGAAGTGCTGATGTCCCCTTCTGTTTTCTGCCTATTGGGAAATAATCACGGCTCACCATCTAACATATTGTCAATAAGATGCTGCAGACTAGAACTCCCCCTATACCCGAGCAGAGAGATCGAATACTGTAGAGTGCACTGGACCGTGAACAAAATCACTTTTCAACACCTCCCCACATACACACGCTCCCATCTTTTCAACCTCCAAAAATTTAATCCCATCACCTCATGGAGACAGAAACGTGCAGTGCAATATGCTGCCAAGTGTACCGTGTCAAAAGGCGGAGTGTAGACACTTAGATACATAGAATGTCTGTCAAGAAACTATGGATACAAAATGCAAAGCAGACATATCCAATGCACCTTGCAGGACTCTACTGCATATCATTAAAAAGTACTACGTAATTTTTACATGGTTTAACATCAAGCATATTTAAATCACTATGCACAGGTTGTGATGGTTGATCAGGACTTCTCCAGTGCAACAGCTCCAGGGTGCTAACTGAAAGCAGGGGCCACCACCAGGAAGTATGATTCACTGACAATTTTGGAGTCTAAATCAAGGCCACAGTGGGTGGTATGTAAAGGAAGAGGCTCACGCTATTGAGTAGGCTCAGATATTTGATGTACACACAACACGCATCCCACCTGCATATATTAGTGTCACTCAGGTAAAGTCATACATCACATACTTTTACATTATACAGGGCTTACTGTTTTCTTGGGGAAAAACTAAGGAGTTCTGTGGAGTTCTTATCAATGCTTGGCAGTTACTGGTGACATATTGCTGTGTCTTTTGGGGGAAATGGATGGTAGGGAGACAAATACAAGCTTTCATCACTGCCACTATAATGCATTAAGGGAGCTATCAGAGCAAGACAAAGGATATTAAAAGTATGAGAGGATATGTCTAGAGCTCCGTCAGGGTTCATAGTAACAAGTCACAGTCAGCTGAGTAGGCACTGTGGAGCAGGAACCACAGCAAGAAGATAACTGATGGTCCCACGGAGCAGCCTCAAAGGGCATGACCCCAGAGGATGAATTACCCTGCATGTCAGGACCAAGAGTTTTCATAGTCCAAGATGGTCTTGGCTTCTATTAACAAATAATTATTGAAATATGGGTTATTTCTGTGGATTTATTGGATTCGTAGCAGTAAAAATGTAATCAAGAATTTAGATTTTATCAAGAAAACAACAAATAAATTACAGCAACGAGTCTACTGCAGCAAACTGTACTTGATACAGGACAAGCACAGATCAAGAGATTTCAAGGGAAATACATACACTAATTCCACTCAGTGTGACAACTGTTAATTTTCAGTGGGTAGTACAGCATGCTCATCATAATTCTGTTTACCTTAATTTGGCTGGGAAAGTCATTTGAAAGCAACTTTTAAAATGCATATAAATAAGCTAGAACTACCAAATTAAGAGAAGCTGTAACGTATGAGTTATTCTTTTGAATTCTAATGATAATTAAATTGCACACATTCACAGCCAAATGCATCTAGAACCACCAACGGATTTTTAGAAATCAAAGGGGTTCTCTTAAAGGGCTGTTATGTCTTTTTAAAATTTGCATGGGTTATTTTTGGTCTGACATCATTCAAATCCACTAGGATTACAGTATAGACTAGCATTTTATTATCTAAGACCTAATAACAAAGGTGAAAAATTATGATTGAGCTATTATTTAACATTTGAACACTAAGTAGATTGCAAATTGTAGAATCATTCAATGATGATTTACTAATAATCAGAACACATTTAAAGAATGAAAAAAAGGTTAAGGTTTACAGGTACGCTATAGCATTACTGCCTACATGAACAACTTTCAGCACTACAGCACGTGGACTGTCTGCGCGTGTAAGTCTAAATTAATTGAAAAAGCATTCAGTTGCCTTTGAAGCCACCTATGCCAAAAAACTGCACTAACAGCAGCAAAATTACTAAGCAATGAGTAATATGAATGAGTACAACTTTACAACTTACCCCTCCAGGTTATTCCTCAAGTATTACTGGTTCATTTTTCCCAGTGAAGCCAAGTCTCTGCCACTGTGTGTTGTTGAGGCATGCAAGTAGCCCACAATGAAAGCAGAAAGAAAAAGAAAAAGAGGGTTCATTTTAGACCTGTGTAAAAAAATAAATAAAAAAAGGTGGTGGTGGGGGTTAAAAGAGGGAGCCTATGCTGGAGGAAGAGCCTAAATAATCCATCTGTGATCTAGGAGACGCTATCAGATGGGGTGAATACAAATCACAGACCTACCTCTGCAGCAACCTAGGTCCAATATCCTCAGGGTCCTAAGGCTACACTCTAACAGTTTATTCTTACAGATGAGGACTAACACCCCACACATTCAAGGACATTAGAAACTGTTCAGCTAAAATAAAATAATATTTTTGGTCTTATTTTCTGGGATTATTAAAAAGAGAAGGAAATATATTCTTGTATTCGGAAATACCAGTGCTTTATTTTGCACTCAACTCTAAATGAATGTGCATTTTATTAATTTTACTGCATCTGTGCTCAACACCACCCTCTCATTTCTTACAAAAACTATTATATCGCAACTGTTTATGTATAGCAGAAAGCTCTATCATCTTGGATGATTTGGCACAATTTGGAAACAAGTGCATTTGTGTATACCTGTTCGATAAAGATGCAGAGTTCAAGATACCTGCAAAGAACCATGGTGTGTTGTTGCAATGTGGAGAAACAGCCGTGCTTTGTGGCTCACAATCTGCAAAAAGTATCCCACAGGGTATCCACGTTTACCTGCAGCAAAACCAGCCTGCGTCTCTTGCCGGTGCTCGCAGTGAGTGAAATTGAAATGCTTTTTTCTTCTTTCTCATTTCTATTCAGCTATACACATTGAGGGGGTTGGTTCGAACCTGAAGATGCATAGGTCACAAAGCAGGAAAATACCCAATTCATCATAGAGATAACAAAGACAAACACATTCTCACCTATAGAAATTTTAGAGGTTTTGAGGCCACCTGATTCGCATGACTATTAAGCTCTGCCCTTTTCTATTGTCTCCCACCATACACTTCTGTGTGATTTTCATTTTTCAGAAACACGTCACCTGTGCAGCAGCAGCAACTGGCTTTATGTTATTTTAATGAGGGCAATGTCGACTGATAAATGCATCTTCTTGTGTGCAATGATGTTGTTTAACAAAAGAAATTGATCCGCAGGATTATTGAACAGCTATGTGTCATACAGGATTCAGCAACAGTAAATCAGCAGGATTAAGCCAACCTGTGCAATGCACTGTAGATTCAAGTACACACCACATATAATAACAGCTTTTAAGTGCTCTTACAAAAAAAGATGGGGAACCGTAAATAGTCTGATGCTGCAATGAAGGAATGTCAGGGCATGTGACCCAAAGCCTTTTTCGTTTCAACTGCACTCTTATCATCAGCACTTTTATCGAAATCCTTCATCTAACTCAGCAGTGCAGCTTTGAATTAACCTCAAGTCAATATCACGGTCATCGATCTAACAGGAGCAGACCTGTGAGTGTGACAGTGGAAAGATAATCAAAAGGAAACATGGCTGTATCTGGCAGGAATGCTGCTTCGGTGATTAGAATGACCAGGCTGCTTGCAGTTTGAACACGAGGTGGAATCAACAAAAGACAGACCGTGTGGAGAAGCTGATCATAGAGCAAAATATTTGTATTTTGATGAATGCAAATGACTGCCACACCCCTGTTTATGTCTATTAAGTGTTCGGCTGATAAAAATGAACACAATCTGGTGTTTGAGCTCCTCGTCACCTTTATAATATCTATCATTCTTGTTATTGTTTTTGATATCACTCATTATCGTAAACTTCTAGCCATTACTTGACAGAGCTGCGTGTGCCGATGCAAATGTTCAATGCACTCAGATCAGATATTAAATCATTGTTAACCCAACAGCTTTATGGTACAAAGTCTGTGCGATGTCCAGTTGTTCATACCTATGTGAGAGGTATTTATATAATGCAGTATTTTGTGGTAATGATAAAGCAAGTTTTCTGGAGTTCTTCTGTGAAAACAGCAATAGCTGCACAAATTACTTTGAAGAGAAAAAGGTGCATTATTCCAGAAAAAGCACTATGTTGTGAATGATATCCTCTATGATCAGTAAGACTTGCATTTTGTTCGATCTAAGTTATTTATTTAAAGCTATTACTAAATGAAGGAAACAGCTAATGGGAATGCTAATGAAATTTGTATCCGCATTAGCTGTGTGGTAGTGCATTTCATTTGCATTTGCAGACAGAGATGAAATGCGCCACCGCATATTTCTCACAGCAGAAGCGAAACCTCCTAGAATCTCAAATTCATTTAAATTCTCAGTATCAAGTTCCATGAGGTTAGTCACACAGCAATGATGAAGAACTATATCAACGTTTGTGAAATTTGGCAACAGGCTTTCTCCTGAAGGGCTTGAGAAACATGTTGATGTTTGGTCCTAGCCTTTTTGGCATCTTTCATTCTTAATTGTTTTGTCTTTCCTGAGTTTTTTTTTTCTTCGTTGTGAACGTGTCAGATAGACAAAGCATACATTTAAGGTCTAGTGATTTCTACATTATCTATTTACTTACCTTGGACAACTTGTACTTATACTACAAAGTGATGTGTAAATACATTTCTTCAGTAAGATTGCTCACATACTTTCACATTCAGTTTAACTGTGATTTGCTCATATCAAATAATGACAAATGACTATATTAGCATACATTTATATGGTAATATTTGAGTCCTTTTTCTTTTACCCTCTTTGGTTGGCCTGACTGACACTTTAGTATCTACTCTGTGCGAAAACCAAAAGAAAAAAAAGAAGAAGCTATTTTTATGGATGGACTATTATACAAGAGCTGCACAGGGAATCTGTGAGAATGCAATCCAGGTGTCATTGCCCCTTGGTAATCTCTCTCGTCTTCAGGAATTCATTTTCTCAGCAGCTTCACTTGAAAATGACATTCTGACACCATTTACATGGAAATCACTTTGCCTCTTCATCTGTAATAGTGGTCTGTACGCAGACAGGACCTCTCTGAGGGCTGGACTATTAATGGGCATAAACAAGGAAGGAAGGGAGGAAGGGAAGAAAGAAAGAAAGAAAGAAAGAAAGAAAGAAAGAAAGAAAGAAAGAAAGAAAGAAAGAAAGAAAGAAAGAAAGAAAGTAAGAAAGAAAGAAAGAAAGTAGGGTGCATACTAAAACCTGGGGTTTTCTGGGTTTAAGTCAAGGTCAAAGCTTTAGGTATTAAGGGATAAAGCAGCAGAAGAGACTGAGAGAAAGCATAATGTGGGAAATTCCTTTTTCTCCACTTAAACCTGGATCCTCTCTTTCCCCTTCTCCCTCTTTCGCATGCACAGACACACACATGTGGACAGGAATACATACCCACATTAAAAAGAGACATAAAGATTTCCCCCTAAAGCGCAAACATCCACCACAAAGCTCACATCTAAGCACTTGTTGAAAATGCATATAGTCTATGTTTCAGTGCCTTGTTAGATTGCAGTAAGACATGTTTGAATGCAAGATTTTATTTTCCTTCCGTGTTTATATCAAATATTTCTCCGTGATCATATCACAAATTAAACCAATATTTAAAAATGTCAATATTCCAAAAGAAAAAAGGCCTGTGAGGTGGGATAAGAGTAAAACATCTGGCACATCTCTCAGGCTCCAGGAAGCCACAAAGCCAATCTATTGTTTGCTTCTCCATGCTTGCTGCAAAACTGCTGCATGCATGCACAGTAGCACCTGTGACCTCAAACTTGAATGTTTGCTTAGACATTCACATTAAACATGCACTACAGCCAGAGTCAATGATGAGATTACCAAATCATAAATAACTGTGTATCTGGTTTACTTGTAGCAAGACAGGGAATGTGGAAGCACCTTTTATATGAAGAACAACAAAACCATGATAGTCCTACCATGACACATAAGATCAAATATTTTCTTTTCTTATATTAAATGAAAGTATACATTATATGCTTTGAAATCTTTGAATATGAGAGAAAAGGTTAAAAAAAAAAAAAGATAGTTTATTTGGCTGGATTAACACTGCCTCCACCTGGCATTACTGTAACACTACTCGAAGTGCTCATAAAGAGACCACTGCTTTGGAGTAAGAAGTCCTAAACTTTTTACATTATTTCATGTGGTGTGTTTTAATGAAATCTGTGGTTTTATTTTACAACATGATCAATCTCCATTGCCAGGAAAGACTAAGTGCTACGCAAGAAACGAGCATTATGCCAGTAAATGTCTACTATGACCAAAATTATAATACTATCGACAAACACTCGCAGTAATAAGCTCTCTGTAAGAAGCATCTCCACATTTGGTTTTTACATTAATGTTTTCATTACCCAAGCAATGAAAAAAAGCTTATAGAGTTAACAAGACCAGCGCACACGCCACACTATCTGGAATGTGTTGGAGATTTCTGTCCAGCAGTTGTAACTTTGTGTGAGCACAACCATTGTTTCTCATAGCACAAGTTATACACAATGCTAGGATACTGGAACAACTGCTAGCTTAGTCATGATAAATTTGTGTAATTTGAGGTAATTGAGTATGAAGGGAAAATAACTAAATCAATCAATAAAAACACAGTTAAATTCAGTTTCCAATATATTTTCAGTTTTCAATAGATTTCCAAATCACTAGAACAGTCAGCTAAAGGTGCTTTATACTGTAAGATAAAGACAGTACAGCCTACAGTAATAGTGAGAACAACCCAACAGTCAGATGAACCCCTATGAACAAGAACTTGGTGACAGTGGAAAGGAAAAACTCCTTTTTAACAGGAAGCAAAGCGGGGTAGAACCATGGAGGGAGACAAAACTATTTTTTTTCTATTTCTTTATTTTTTTTTGTAGAGTATCTCTAGTACTATAAGCTTTTGTTACAGCCACCATCAAATTACGTGCAGTTAATACTTAACTAGTTTGAGTGGGACACAGTTATTTTAGTAAGTAATTTTTTTGTGAATTGGAAACCTTTACCTTGAAAAGCACAAGGTTTTTTGGCTTTAT